TCTGCCCACACCTCAGTCAGTGCACCTGGGTGGGGAGGTCAAGGGCAGCCTTAGTTACCATAAAGTGTTCAAGGCCAACCTGAACAGCATGAGAATTTGTATCAACCCCCATCCCTTGCACAAAATATCCAGGAAAGTGCTGGGAGCCATGTCGGGACACTCTCTGGCCCTCCAGAAAAGGGAAACCATCATAGGAACTCTTGAGGAGTGTGGTGCTGGTGGAAGAGGCAGGAGATGATGGAGGGAACCCTGTCTTTCAGGGTACAGCCTCTGATTCTGTCTTATGAAGACATCAGTGAGTGTGAAAGGTCGAGTAGGGCTTCAAGAAGGTCACTGAGACAGGTTACTGGATAGGAAGGGTTTCCTGAGACTTATCAATGCCATGGACAGACAGAAAGGTAGCTAACAACATGGCAGGGGCTCTACAGAGGGCAATAGGCATGGGGTGAGGATAGGGCTGGTTTCACAGTGCACAGGCCTGAACCTGGAAGGAGGCAAGGAACACTAATGCCATTGGAGAGAGAATCCCTGGGCCTGGATGGAAGTAGCTGGGGAGCCACAGCGTCCCAGCAGGGTATCTGTGTGAGGTAAAGGTTGTGGCTGTGGTCCTAAGCGGCAGATGGATGCTAACATCACAGACTTAGGGTGTAGAGAACACACTGGAGATGGCCAGGCTGTGTCAGTGTACCATAGTAGGGCTGCACATGGGAATGACTGGCCAGAGTCAGGGAAATTTTGAGGCCAAAGCTTTCAGACTTTGTAATAAGCCCGGTGTGGCGATAAGTGTCTGTAACTCCAGTGTGGACAGTGCAGGCTGGAGGATCAGCAGTTCAAAGTCATCCTAGGTTGGAGAAGACCTGAATCAAGCAAAGGCTTAGTGATTACACAAATGCATGGACCAGGGAACAGGAACAAGTCACATTGGTTGCAAAAACTGGTAGGAAACCACCAAGCCATGTAGGGACAGGAGGAGGAAGTCTGTGTGAGGGTTGTAATGGTGGTTACTCTTCCACTGCTGATAAAACATCGAGATCAAAAGTCACTTGTGGAAGACAGAGGTCCTTTTGGCCTGTGTTCCTGAAGGAAGGTTAATAATGGCGGGAAGGCTGGAGGACACTGAGCAGTCACAGCTACAGCCACATGCAGAAAACACAGAGAAAACTGCAGATGAGGAGGGGCAGTAAGTTCTCAAACACATGCCAGGGACACACGCTCCTCCAGAAGACTGCACCTCCTAAATGCTCCATAACCCCCTATCTCCACAGGTCAAGTAGGTGAGCCTGTGGTGAAGATTCTTCATTCAAACCACCACAGCGGTGGGGAATATAGTTGAAGTGCTGTGTGGATCTGATAGAGCTGACTAAAAAAAAGTACACCCAAATCCTGTATTTGTAAGTAGAAAGAGAAAGCATAGAGAGATTGTTCAGGAGTTAAACACTTGCTTCTCTTGCTGAGGACCCAAGTTTAGCTCCCAGCACCCACAAAGAGCAGCTCACACCCTGCTGTAAGTCTGCCGGCAGGCATCCTGTGCTCTCTTCTGCCTCCTTGGACATCAGAACAGAGATGGCAAACACAATCACACACACATACACACAACGAAAGGTAAATCTTTAAAACTAAACTGTAACCTAAAACACTTAGGGAAAAAGGAGCCGAATGACTTGTTTTCCAAAACACAGTGATTAATTAACCTTGTCAAAGGGAAGAGGGAGCAGGTGAGTGGGAAACGTCTCATCCATTCATGGCAAAGTCAGTTAACATGTGAGTATTAGAGGCTGGGGTGATGGCTGCTAGACAGAGCACCAGGGTTTCATCCCAGCACCACACTGACTCACAGGCTCCTGCAACCCCTGTGCCAGGGGATATGATGCCCACTCTGACTGCCACAGGGGCCAGGGACACATGTGGCAAACAGGCGTACATGCAGGCAAACATTCATACAATAAAATAAATGAAGTTAAAAAAAAAAAAGATATCAAGCCTACTAGTGGTGGCACTCGCCTTTAGTCCCAGCACTCGGGAGGCAGAGGCAGCTGGATCTCTGTGAGTTCGTGGCCAGCCTGATCTACTGAGCTAGTTCCAGGTTAGCAGCCAAAACTACAGAGAAAACCTGTCGTGAAAAACTAAAAAAAAGAAACAAAAAAGATGTCTACGCTCAAGACTAGTGAACCCAATATAATTCCCACCTAAATGACAATGGCTGTTTTGCAGAAAAAAAAAAAATCATCTTCTCCGATCCACATGCATTCATTCTCAAAGACAAAACGAGATGAAACAGTAAGAGCAACAAAAACAACAAAATGGTCAATAATGAAGCACTCCCACCGCCTGACCCAGATGTGTTAAAGTTGCAATAGGAGGCTGGAGTGGTGGCTGAGCAGCTAAGAGCACTGGCTGCTCTTGCAGAGGACCTGAATTCTGCTCCCAGCACCCACACCCACATCAGGCAGTTTACAACCGCCTGTAACTCCAGCTCCAGGCATATGGGAAGGTGTGTCCTAAATCCACAGGCATCTGCTCTCATGTGCATCTCCACAAAACAGGAGCAAATAATTTTAAATTTCTAAAAAGAAAGAAGAAGCAGCTACAGTAGCTAAATAAGTAAATAATAGGTATTTTTAAGCTAAATCACCCCTCACAGGGTAAAAGGTGTTGGTGTCCAAGCCTGGGGCCACATGGTGGAGGGAACCAGACTCCTGCTATTTGCCTTCTGATCCTCACACAAACTGTGGCACATCCCCTACCTTGTAATAAAGTAATAGCAATAAAAAAGAAAAAAGCTGTAGTCACTTAAACAGCATAGTATGCACTATGAAAATGAGATTAGTAGATTAAATATAATCCAGGGAAGGCAGTTTCTAGCGTCGGAAAAGGAAGGAGGTGAATGTATAGTAGACCAAGCAGGTATGGGGTGAGGGGAACTCAAGGTAAGGAGAAGGGAGCAAAGGACACAGGGGTGGAGCTTGGACCTGGCAGAGATTTGGGGGAGGGGTTGCTGGGTAGGACCACAGCCCAGCAGAGGTAGTTCCAGGCTCTTCCAGGCTCTTCTCTGAGAGCCTGGGGCAGTTTCTTCCTTCCCCTGTCCACTGAAGATGGTCTGAACAAGGAGGACAGCTAAGAGAAGATCACCATGGATGTCACAATGACACTGTCTCTTCCCCACAGGCCAGAGGACTAACGCTGAAACCCCAGCCAGGTGAGCACCATCCGGGTCCCCTGAAGAGCAGCCAGTGCTCTTAACCACTGCTCCCTCTCTCCAGCCCCTTCAAATAGCATTAAAAACTAAAGGAGAACCAGGCAGAGGGCTCTTCGCATCGCCCACCCCTGACTCATCCTGACTGCTTCCTCCTTGTCCCTGTGACACTGGGCATCTGAATTGCGGTCTTCATGTTTGTGAAGCGGGTACTTTGCCAACTGCACCCTCTCTCCCAGCCCTCCACTGTATCTCTTGAGACAGGGTCTTTCACTGAATCAAGAGCTCATCTGTTCCTAGGCTGGTCAGTGAACTCCAGAGACTTACCTGCCTGTCTCTGCTTCTCCTGCATCCATCTTTAAGTGGGTGCTGGGTCTGAAGTCAGGAACTGTACTAATGGAGCCATCTCTCCAGCCCAGCACCTAATGGCTCGATTCCCTCTTGTCCAGACTCTAATATGTGGCCCATCTTGTCTTATGCAGGGAACTCCTTGAGAACACTGAGAAACACCAGAATGTTGAACCTGAAGGTAAATTCTGCCAGCTTCCTGTTTCCACATTTGGCTGTGACTTCCTCTCCCAAGACCCCATGTTTCCATGAGCATCCCTCAGCATTTTCATCTTTCCCTCCTTCACCCCGTCCCTCTCCTGGAACCAAGGTCTCCACCTCACTGTTGGAACTCCCAGCCATCGGTCCCCCTTCCTGTCACAGGGATAGATTCCAATGCTCCCGTTTCTTTTTTCTCTAGGGCAATATAAGGACCCCAAAGAGAACCCCAAGGTAAACAATGCAGATCAGGCCTGAGGAAGTTAAAGGGATGCTAAAGGAGGCAGAAGGGTGGAGGCCGGGGGTGTGGGTGGGACAGATGCTCAGGCCGCAGCTGCTGCTTTATGGCAGCCACAGTTTCCCGCTGCCCTCTGACCTCTTGTCTTCCCCCAGGACAACATCGTGTATGCCTCCATTGCCCTCTCAAGCCCGGCCTCCCCAGAAACCCCACCCTGCCCTCCTGTCCCCGGGAACCCCCAGGAAGAGACTGTGTACTCCATCGTAAAGACCAAATGAGTGGGTCAGGGTGGCCATCTCAGAGCCACCTTTGCTTCTAGTAGCAAGACGCCCAGCTTCCACAGCCAGAGACAGAAGCTCAAGGGTCACAGATATCCACGGGCAGAGACAGAAATTCACACGTCAGGGAGCTGGAACTCAGAGAAACGGAGACACTCCCAGTTCCCTTTTCTAACTTCCTTGGCCTTTCTCACAGGAATAAAAAGATACACAGAATTTGCCTAAATGAATCTAATTAAGGGACACTGGTGTGACCTTTAACTTCTGTCCCTCAAGGACTCCTCCTCTATCATTTTTTTTTTTAGGTGTGCAAGGCAGGTGATGCCCCAAATGCTGGCAGCCAGTCCACAGGATGTGCCCCCACACCTGTGAGTGTGATAACCAGCACACACTGTGACTGGTTCCCATGTACCACCACACTGAGCATGAGCATCAACCCTAGATAGATGGTGTGAGACAGGGAACTAAACACCAGAGGGTTTGAATGCTTTCCTAAGGCCATGTCACACCCAGGGAGTATCAGAGCCAGACTCACAGACAAGCTTTCCTGGAGGTTCCCCCAGGTCTGGGCCTCGCTGCTGTCCCCAGCCTCCATACCCTCCACAGTGGGTAGTTTGCCCTAGTGACAGGAAAGGACGCACACCCCAGCAGTAGCCCCAAGACCTGCTTTATTAACCCAGCCTGCACAGCTCTGGTTTGGACCACATACACAGGTCAACAACCCTGACATTTAACAGCTGCTCAAATGCTGACAGGCAGACAATAGTAGGAAAGCCAGAGCACACTACTCCTCAAAGAGGGCTGCCAGGAAGCCCTCTGGACCGTCCCTCTGCTGGGACTCCCCTCTCTCCTCTGGCTCTCCAATGTCTTCCATGAGTTCCTCCAAGTCCAGGTCACTGGAACCATCATCTTCAGGGGGGAAGATTACTGCCTCCTGTGTCAGGAGCTCCTGAGGTCCAGGACCTTCCTTTCCCAATGGATGAGCCCCATAGCCAGCTGGTGGGGTAGGGTGCTGAGACACAATTTTAGTTTCTTTCTGCTCAGGTACGGTGGTAGCTGAGGCCTTGCTTTCAGGAGCCTTAAATTTCTTTTTAGGGCCTAAAGAGAACAAGGAACAAAGTTGAGAGTCCCTTTAAGTCACCTATCTGGAGTTTTACAGCCAGATTTCTGAATTCTTATGTTTAATGCATCTGAAAAGATAATCGCCATCTGAATGCAGAATACAGGCTCTCAGGTCACACGTAGACTCTAGCCTGTGTCAGCTGGGTATCCAACATGGGTCTTGAACAAATCTGAAACCTTCTGAGCATTAGTGAATTTGAATTTGAAATGTCAAGAAGCTGGAACGTTGGCTCAGTAGTTAAAACAACTTGCTGGTCTTGTAGAAGGCGGGGCCTCAATTCCCTTTCTCACATAGTGGCTCCCAACCACCTATAACTCCAGTTCCAGAGGCTATGACATCATCTCCTGGCACCAAGTATGTATGTGGTGCACAAATATATATGCACTAAAACACCCATACACATAAAAACCTTAAGTACATATTAAAAATAAATAAATAAAATGTCAAAAACCTAAGGCCCATTCTATGAGATGGAACACATACCTATCACTCTTAAAGTCTCAGGATCTTTGAGAAAGACTAGGGCAGGGCAAAAGATTGTATAAGAGCCAGAGGTAGTTGGAACAGTATTTTCTGAACACAATTGGGCAATTGCCCATATGAACTCACAGTGATTTTGACAGCAGGCATAAGATCTGTGCAAGCTTAAGCCATATAACATTGCAGTATGTAAAGGACATGAAATCTTACTAGTAGCTGTGAAGCTACCGGCATTGTTTTTGAAAAGATTTAATTTTATTTTATGTGTATGGGTGTTTTCCTTTTCCCTGCATGTACACGCATCACATATATGCAGTACAAAGGGGTCAGAAGAAGAGTCATGGATGGTTGTGGGCAATCATGTAGGTGCCAGAAACTGAACCTGAGTCCTCTGGAAGAGCAATCCCTGCTTGATTTAGCTTAGTATCTGATTAGAGAAGGAACGTCAGTTGTCTTTAATGACATGACTGATCCCTTGGTCAGCCAACTACACTCCAGGCCAGGCCCCACTCCCAAGACTAGCTAATGGGGCCTGATGGGGTGAGGGGCAGAAGAAGACTCAAGTGAGTTCTAGGAAAGGTAGGGTGACACAGAGAAACCCTGTCTCAAACCCCACCCCACCCCCCAAAAAAGAGAAAGAAAAAATTCTCAAAAGAATTAACAATATTACGTTTAAAAAATCAGGAGCTGAGCATGGTGACCCACACCTTTAGTATCAGCACTTGGGAGGTAAAGGCAGGTGACTTCTGTGAATTTGAGGCCAGTCTGGTCTACAGAGTAAGTTTCTGGTCAGCTATGGTTACACAGTGAGACTGTCTCAAAAACAAAACAAGTTGGTGAGATGGTTCTGTGGGAAACCCACGTGGTAGAAGGAGAGAACTGACTCCCTAATGTTATCTTCTGGCCTCTACTTCTGCACCATGGCATGCACCATGCACACACAGACAAAACAGGTGAGTGTAAAATGCCAAGTATCTAGTCTTGGAACAGTTGAAAGACTTAGCAGGAACATCACGGAATGAATTCAGAGAGCTGCCTGCCTCTGCCTCTTGAGTGCTGGGTTTCCATACTAGAACTGGGCACAATTAAGTTTATAAAGTATGTTCTATGTTCAATCTGAGACATGGCCCTTCACTCAGAATTTCATATGTTCTTCCCCACTCCCCCTTTGGTGTTTTTGAAAAAGGGTCCCACTCTATAGCCTAGAACTCATGTGTAACATGGGCTAGCCTCAGCTTCATAATCCTCTTATACAACAGAAAAGCAAGAATTGTTGAAGAATTGATCAGAAATGACCCAGGGAGGGGAGATGCAGACAAGGACTTCCTCTCCCTGGCCTTCATGTCTCTGAGCCCTACCTGGATGGTGCAGCTCTGAATTCCCCTGTTCTTCTCTCCCTCCCAAAGCGCGTCCAGGAGGGACTGTGGTCTCGCTGCCCAGAGACTCCTTCACAGTCTTCTCTTTTGAAGTCCCATCTTGTCCTCCTGCTGGGCCTGTATAAGCCCCAGCCATAAGCATGAAGAAAATTTGTTGATGGCTTGGCATGGCAGATGATGACCACACATTTGGCTTCTGCCTTGTTCTACATCTCTGGCTCATTCTCTGTCTAGCAGTTCCCTCAGTAGCCTCCAAGTCCAGCCACCTTGACATGCTGTCCCTTGGTCTTCTCCCCCACTATGGTTATCCTCAGAATCAGCCTTGGTGACCAAGCTGAGCCCTACACTTTTAGCCTAAGACTTTGAAAACAAGAATGAGGAGCTATGACTTTCTCCCTGGCATCAGCCCAGCCTGTTCTCTCAGGTCCTGGAGATGAGATTCAGTCCAGCACAGCTACCGGAAAACACTCTGCCTCTGCCCTCCCTCCCTTTAGGACTTGCCCCTTTCCAGCTGCCTTCCTTACCTCTGGACTTGGTTTTTCTGGTCTGTATTTTAGCTGGCTTGGGTCTAGGCAAAGTTGAGTCCTTCAATAGGGAAAGAACAGAAAAAGGCAAATTGAATCACAAAACTCTTCCCAAAAACTGAGGAGGCCCCTAATCATGTGATTCCCATGCAAACATGAGGAACTGAGTTCAATCTCTAGAACACACATACAAAAGCTGAATGGTGAGTTTTAGGTTCCTGTGAGGGGGAACACTTATAATCCCAGCACTGAGGACATGAAAATAAGTGCATCCTTGGGGCTTATTACCTAGCCTATTAAGTGGACAAGCTTCAGTTCTATCTCAAAAACCAAGATGGATGGCACCTGAAGAATGATGCCTGAGACTGACCCCCTAGCCTGGCATGCATTTACACACACATGTGTGCACACCTACACACACATACTCTCATTTTAGTAGAGGTTTGATTGCAGCCTGATGTAGTTTAATCTGTATCAGGACAGAGGAAATGTGTAGTCGCTTTCCCATCTTGTTTAGTACCAATCAATGCAAAGATTGGATGCATAAGAAGAAATTAGCCTGGGGTGGGTAAATTAGAGACTATGAGATGGCTCAGTGGCTCCAAACCTGACAACTCCAGTTCAACTGGAAGGGCCCACAAGGTAAAAGAGAGAACCAACTCCCTCAAATTATTCTCTGGCCTGCATTCCCACCCCCAAAGTAAGTAGGTGTAATAATAATTTTGTAAAGAGGTAAACTAAAAGAGAAGTAGAAAATAAATGTTTCGAAGTGATACTAAGAAAATGGGTGACATCAAACCCAAAAACAAAACAAAACAAAAAAAAAATCAACAAAGCCTGCCAGTGGTGGCACATGCCTTTAATCCCAGCACTCGTGAGGCAGAGGCAGGCGGATCTCTGTGAGTTTGAGACCAGCCTGGTCTAAGAACTAGTTCCAGGACAGGCTCCAAAGCCACAGAGAACCCCTGTCTCAAAAAACAAACAAACAAAAAAAAAAAAAAAAAAAAAAAAAAAAAAAAAAAAAAATGGGTGACATCTTAAGTTGCCACAAAGGAGGAAGGAGTGTTAAAAACAACTAAGGGTTCCCCAAAATTACATGAAGAACCAAAGAAACGCAGCACAAATTGAGACTGTGATCAAAAAGGAATTTCTGAAGGGCTGAGAAAGTCCAACTATGAGGAAGCAAAGCCTTCCTTCCTGGAGCTCCTCAGGGTGGGGCCAGACAGTGCAACCTGGGGCTGGATGGTTCACAAGACACCCCGAATCTATGCCAACCACATCCCTTCAGGAATCCCAAGGAAAAAGTAACAAGAACTTCTTTAAACCAGTATTTGAAGCTTTGCTTTCTTCTCTTCTTTCTCCTCCTTCTCCTCCTCTGAGTCCTTCTCTTTCTCCAGACAAGACTCAGGGCTGTTGGACTCACGGAGCATCAAATCTAGAAGAGGGAAAGGAAGGAAGACTTGTATCCAAGATGCATTAGGTGAGGTGGAGGTGATTTCAGGAAACTCATTTTCCAACCCTGCCTGAGTCCTCAGGATGGTTTCCATGTCACCATGACCCCACTCATCACTGCTCACCCACCTGTGTGGGCCACAGTCACAAGCACTCCCACTAGAGAATCTGGATGGGGCAGATGATGCAGGCTTGGGTCCTGTGGAGAGAAGAGGCTCTCCACCCTCCCACCCCATCCTCCTACCTTTCCCTTCCCCACTGCCGTCAGATCCATTGTATCGACTCCAGAAACCAAACGAGTTAACCCGCTCCTGAGGAACCAAGAAACAACAGTATCGCCCACCACCCTCCCAGGCCCAGCTTTTCCCTGTCTTCTAGATTCTAGTTGTGACAAAATCTGCATTCATTTTCCAAACTGTTTTCTCTTGAAGTATCACATTAGCTTTATCTGAACCTTTAATGGAGATTAATTGTAGTCTCTTTCCTGGCTTATTCATGATGGAACAAATAACTAGGAAAGAGAAATACACATGTCATTCTCTACCCCACCCCTGCTCCTTTCAGAGAGATCTGAGGGTAAAACCTGTGTTTGGGCTAAGAGAAGACATCACCTGTCCAAGGTTGTGGAAAGGGGTGAGTGGCTTCAGCATCAGGGAAAACTGGCCAGGAAGGAAAGGATAAGCTCTAAAATAAGAGCAGCAATGGGGAAGGCTACCAGTTCCCTGCTGTAGGGTGGCAGGAGGAGTAGATTGAATGGGACCCAGCATGTGGGCTGAGCACTTGCCCACCTGAATATTGATCTGTTCTGCCTTGTGAGCCATTGCTATCGCTGCCTCCAGTTTCTGGTTGTAGTCCTTGTTCCTGCATTTTTTCTGAAATAGAAAGTTAGAATTCATGCTAAATATACGTTTAAAAAATAGTCAATAGAGAAACTCTCAAATAGCTAGTAATTCTTGAAATTATTCAATATGGGGCTAGAGAGATGGCTCAGCAGCTAAGTATTGTTGTTCTTCCAGAGGACCCAAGCTCAATTCTCAGCATCCACATCAGGCAATTAATAATCATCTAAACTCCGGCCTTGGGAGGTATGAAGCTTTGGGCCTCTGTAGGTACCTGCATGCATGCGCACACACCCACAATGAAAAATAAAATAAATTTGTTTTGTTTTGTTTTTTTGAGACACAGTTTCTCTGTGAAAAAATCCTGGCTGTCCTAGAACTCATTCTGTAGACCAGACTGACCTTGAACTCACCAATATCTTCCTTTAAAGGCATGTGTCACTACTGCCTGGTTTTTCTTTTTTTAATAAAATTTTTAAAAGAAATATTAATCAGTAATAATATTAGAAAAATGACCAAAACATACCACTACCTACCAGACATTATCACTTTTTTTTTTTATATGCAGGATCACACACTGTAACTCAGTTTAGCCTGGCACTTATTGGCCTCAAACTCACAGCAACTCTCTTGCTTCAGCTTCCTTAATGCTGAATTATAGGTGTGGATCACCATACCTAACTTAGACATTATCTTAGCTACAGGTGCTTAACTATCAGTTCCAGATACCGACACAACACTCTGCTCAGAAACAACACTCTCCTTCCCAATAAACTTGTGACATTTCAGTGCCTTCTCCACAGTGACCCACACAAGGATTTGAGAGCAAAGCAGACAGAAGTTCAGGTGACTCCACTTTTCAGTTCCTCACAAGTTCCCCTGAACCAGCAATTTAATGTTCATGGTTCTATTGAATAGGAGGTGTACAACAAACATTTCTTCTTCCTACTCCATAATCCCAAAGGTCATCTCATTAGGCTACAGGATCTCTGCTCACTTTAAAGCTAGTGAAACCCAAAATAATTACAGGGAGGAAATATGATTTAGATAAGCACATGCTTCTCAACTAGGGAAGACTGTCACCCAGAAAATGAGGTTTGAGAACAATTCACAAGGTTTGGGAACAATTTATGTGGCTGTCACAATGAGAAGAGGGCAAGACATATGGTACAGGATGCTGCAGTGCCCAGGTGTGCTAACACCTGCATGCAGAACAGGTGCAGCTAACACATGCATTCAAAACAGGTGTTGATAACACCTGTATGCAGAATAGGTGCAGCTAACACCTGCATGCCAAAAAGATTCAAGCTAACACCTACATTCAGATCAGGTGCAGCTAACACCTGCATGCAGAATAGATGCTGCATGCAGATCAGGTGCTACTAACACCTGCATGCAGAATAGATACAAGTTAATACCTGCATGCAGAACAAATACTAACACCTGCATGCAAAACCAGGTGCTGCTAACTACACAGCAGAGGATTATTTGCATCAAGATGCTCACAGTGCTGGAACTGAGAAACCCTGAGTTAACCTGGGCCCTTATGGTTGCCACTCCCAAACTGACTCAGAACATGGTGTGGTGGTACTTGCCTGTAGTCCCAGAATTTAAGAGGTTGGGGACAGATGATCAGAAGTTCAAGGTCATCCTTGACTACATAGTGAGTTCCAGGCCAGCCTGGGATATATGAGACCCTCTCTCAAAAAAAAAAAAACCAGCAAAGAGTCACATAAAGAAACCTGAAACCCGTTCCCTGTATCACAATAGATACCCAAAGTTTGCTCACCCCTCTGGCTAGCTCCAGAGACAGCTCCTGGAAGTTCTTCAGCATACTGACTGGGATCCACGCACGAGAAACAGTTTCTCCAAAATATGTCACATGATACTTGGACTGTAACAAAAGATGGGCTTGTTTGGGTTCCTGCCCTTCCCTCTGCTTTTCCCTTGTCAGAAATGGTCGAGAAAGACAGGGTGGAGAGGGATTCACAGGGAAGAAGCTGGAGCTCATATGCTCCCTGAGCCCTGGCTCACCTACCCAACTCACTGCACTGTTCCGCTACTCTGACCTTAGGAATCCCAGGCAATGTGTACTGAACAAAACAAAAATGCCCTGCTAGGAAGCAAGTGTATCTCGATGCAAGTTCATCTCTATATATGTTTATCTTCCCTCCATATCTGTCATCCTCATTAAGTGACTGCTTCCACACATGTCTACTGGCTAAATCTATGTTTCTAACTCTGAACATGTTGGGACTGATATGTAGCTGCTTGGGCCAGAACCAGGAAACTCACCGGCAGGGAATCTAGATGAGACGCGAAAAGAAAATACTCCCCCAAGTCAGGATCAGTTTCTATCATGCCTGGCCACCTGGGGAAGAGAGATGGGAGGAGAAAGGACCAATGGTTAGAACACAACTTCATCATCATGCACACATGGAAATGAACAAGATGTTTTGTAGAAAATACAAATGCTATACTCTGTTAGTCCCTAGTAGTACTCACTACCAAATGATTGGCATGTCTTCCACCAATATAAAAGAGAGCTCAGTCATCCTAACATGCCCGTGGACAGAACCTCTGGCTGGAGACATCACCAGAAGAGATGCTAACCTACTCATCCTTCTCATGCCTCTCAAGTCTCAACATTTTTAAATGTCTTGAAGCAGGGCTTGCCGGCAATATGACTTACAATCCAGGCACTAGGAAAACTTAGGTAGGGTTTCAAGTTCAAGGCCAGCATTGTCTCAAAAGCAATGCAAAACAACACATGAAAGTGCTTTAGGTCCTCCTTTTTTTTTTTTTTTTTTTTCTGACTCACTGCAACATCAATGGACCTATTTTTTCCAGAGATCCCACCTCTACCCAGGAACCTACAGTCTTCCAAAGCCTTCCAGCTTAGCCCTCACTTTTTCCTCACTGATGCGCTTTCTAATGAAGATACCACATCTATGACAAACGATTGCCACATCCTTTCCTTCCCACATGACTCTACCACTCCCGTGTTCAGGAAATGTTCTCTGTTATGGTGCCCTACCAGGGATAACCGTATTGCTTGGCCCAGATGATGGACCCTGGAACATAGGAGGCATAGGCCACGTCGCTCTCACATCCTGTCCAGGTCTCCTCAGGAATATCACAACGATTGTAATTCAGGTCTGCCAAAAGAGAAGGACTGTAGACATGGGAGGCTCAAAGGGTCAAACTAGGATGAGGGCCACAGATAAGGCAAAGGGAAGTGGTACAGGCTGCAGGTGGGAGAGAAGAGAAACCCACAGAGGAAACGCAGCTAGAGTCAAGACAAGTGGTGCCTCCAAAAACAGATAAGTGTTCGCACCCCAGAGTGACCTGTCCCTTCTATGGAGCAGTGTGGGGGTGGTTTCTCTAAGAGGCTTTCTCATCTAAAAAATAAGTGCACTGGACAAGATGGCCATAGTCTGTCCCAATCAGTTTCAAACATTCTAGAATAAATGCTAAGCTCACTGGGTCTTTCTCACTTGCTTTCCCTCACATGTCATATATCCCTCTCTATCCACAATCCAACACCAATATTCCAGGAAGCACAGATACAATCAGACAAGGCTGACATTAGCGGAGTTCACTCAGTATAGAAATACAGGTTCCCAGGCCACCCATGCCTTCCTCCCCCCAAACAGGAAAATCCTCCCTTCCCAGTCCCTACAAGGACCCCTCAATGTCAGCCACACCTAAGCTGTACCTAATTGAAAGGTACATGCTGGGAAAGAAACAGAGCAGCAATAAAAACTGAGGGGTGCATTTCCATTGCCTTGTACCTGGATTCTGATCACAAGACCAATTATCTGGGAGAACTGAGGGATCAATGTCTCCACGTAGCTGCCGCCATTTCTCACACTTTGGAGAGGAACACTGGACCCAGATAAGACACTGGCCTGTGACAGGAGACAAAAACATGCTCTTCTTCTTCCATCCAACTAAATTGAATATAACTTTCCCGATGGCCACTGAATCATATCTGAGACATAGTAACGGTCAAGTCTCTGAATTAAAATGGCAGAGTGAAAGCTCAGAAAAAGCATCAAGATGCTGAAGGCAACCTAACTTGGTGACAGAGCTGACCTTAGAACTCAAGTCCTACACTGTGATACTCTTCCTGTATTGACATCAAATAGAAAGGTTGCTGAAGCCCTGCAGTTCAAAGTATGCACAGTTTCCCCAAGGTTTAGTTTTCAGCACCCACATGAGGCAGCTCACAAATGCCTTAACTTCCATTCCAGGGCATCTGATGTTCCCTTTTGGCCTCCATAGGCATTTTGCTCATGGACACAAACCCACACTCTGACACACACAAACACAATATTAAAACTTAAACAACAACAAAGACACTTTATAGGTTGCCTTAGGGCTGGAAGTATAGCTCAGTGTTCTGTAGAATATTCTTAATTTTTGCAAAACCCAGGAGTCCATCCCTGTAATCACAAAGAAGCAGAAAGCTTGAGGCTAGGAAGCTGCTTTCCTTGGAAGTAGGAGAACTGAGTTAGATCCACATTCTTCCCATGTAAAAAAATGCTGGGTATGGCGATAGGTGCTTGTAATCCTGGCACTGGGGAGACAGAAAAAGGATGATCCCTAGGGCTCACTGGCTAACTAGCCTAACCCTATTTGATGAGTTCCAGGCCAGTGAGAGGCCCTGGGTCTGACTCTCTGACATAGCACTAATATTCTCCAAATACTAACCAGCACCTCTTTTGTGCACAATACCTGCAATTCTAATTCTTATTTAAATCTCAACAGATTTATCTTTCTGCTATCAAATTACAAGCTTGTGGGGCTGAACAGATGTCTCAATGATTAAGGGCACATACAGAGGACCACATAGGGCATCTCTTAACTAACTGCATGTAACTTCAGCCCTAGAGATTGTCTTAGTCAGGGTTACTATTGCTGTGATGAAACACCATGACCAAAGCAACATGGGGAGGAAAGAGCTTATCTGGCTTAAGCTTCCATATCACAGTTTATCATCAAAGGAAGTCATGAGAGGAGCTCAAACAGGGATGGAACCTGAAGGCAGAAGCTAATGCAGAAGCCATGGAGGGTGCTGCTTACTGTCTTGTTCATCATGGCTTGGTCAGCCTTCTTTCTTATAGAACTCAAGACCACCAGCCCAAGGGTGGCACCACCCACAATGAGCTGGGCCCTCCCCATCAATCATTAATTAAGAAAATGCCATACAGGCTTACCTACAGCCCAATTCTTTTTGGGGGAGGTAGTTTTTTGTTTGTTTTGAGACAGGGTTTTTCTGTATTGCTTAGAAGCCTGTTTTGTTTTGTTGCTTGTTTTGAGACAGGGTTTCTCTGTATTGCTTAAGAGCCTGTCCTGGAACTAGCTCTGTAGACCAGGCTGGCCTCAAACTCACAGAGATCTGCCTGCCTCTGCCTCCTGAGCACTGGGATTAAAGATGTGCGCCACCACTGCCTGGCTGCCTGGAGCCCAATCTTATGAAGGCATTTTCTCAATTGAGGGTCCCTCTCCTCTGATGACTGTACCTGTGTCAACTTGACATAAAACAAGCCAGCCCAGGGACCTCATTTCCTCATCTGGCCTCAAAAGGCACTGCAATCATGTGCACAAATCTACATACATATATTTAAAAACAAAATAAATCTTTAAAAAATGACAAAGTTGCATCCTTTAGGTCCAATGCCCAGAGTTCATCCTCCTCCACAAGACACAGGTCTGGATCCAGATCTATTTTCTTAACCCCCTTCACCTTATTTTTAAGGCATGATCTCTCTGAACTTGGAGCTTCCTGATTCTGCCCGTACTGGGCTTACAAGCACACACCCTGCACCTAGTTTTTTCACATGGGTTTTAATAAAGGCTCAAACTCAGATCGTCAAGCTTGCTCATCAAGCTCTTTCCTGACCAAGCCATCTCCAAGGTCCTCTATCTTCATTTTGATACTGGACACTAATGACTGCCCCCACTCAGCCACTACCTCAGATCTCTAAGTGGAATCTGTTCCTTCTCATGCTCCTCACATCTCTCCAGGTAGAAAGTATAGAAACTTCTTCATTCCCACAGCCACTAGGCCTGTCTCCTGTAGAAGCCATCATTCTCTGAGATGCACTTTATTAGACACTAGCTAGCCCTACTGCCTCCTTCACAAGGATGGTAGCATCCTACTCAGTCTTTACCTCTCCACTTCGAGCCTTCAGTTCAGATGACAACCACATCACAGGACTACCTCACAAGCATCCCATTGGTGTCTTAGCCCTTTCCCACACCCCTCCTCAGTAACCTACTCCACTCCTGCATGACCCAGCCAGTCACTCGGGAAAGCACACACACTCTCGAGTCATATGTTCAGTCAGCCTCTGATAGAAATGCCTTGTCCTCTCCACCTCACTTGCTCCACTCACTTTGTCGCAGTCTCCAGCACACCAGGCTGTCCCACCCACTCCAAGAGCATAAGGACCTCAGGCATCCATGTGGAATCTAGGCACAGTAGTGCACACCTTTGATAGGTAAGATAGGATCCCTGGAATTCATTGGCCAGCCAGCCTTGCTGAATCAGTCATGTCCAGGTTCAGTGAGAGAACTCATCTCAGCATATAAGGTAGAGTGTGAGTGAGGAAGGCAGCTAAGGTTAATCTCTACTCGACACACACACACATTCTCACACATGCACACACGCAACATGCGCGCACACACACCCACATACAAAACATTTTATATCATCAAACAATGTTTCGCCTGTAAATTTGCTGTGTTAAATTTTTACCCACTGTCAAATTTTACCTCACCCATATCTAATCTCGTCTCTCAGAATCATCAATCACACTTAATTTGGGTCCTTTCAAAATATCATCATATTACATACGAATCATTTCTTAAGCAATTTATCTAAAAACAAAATACTAGGGGGCTGGAGAAATGTCTTGGTGGTTACAATCACTTGTTTTTCCAGAGGGTCTGGGTTCGATTCACAGCACCCACATGATGGCTCACAATCATTTATAACTATACTTCAAGAGGAGTTAACCTCTTCTGGTCTCTGCAGGCACTAAGCATGCACATAGCATAGACATATATTCATACAAAATAACCACACACATAAAATAAAAACTAAACAAAAAATACTAGTTGGGCATGACATGTTAGCTAGAAATGACAGTTGTTGGGCCTGAGGTGATGTTCAATCGGTCCTACGTTTGCCTAGCATACATGAAGCCCTAGAACTTCATTAACTCGGGTGTAGCAGCTGTCATCCCAGCAATTAGGAGAAGGAGGATTGGGAGTCCAAGCCCAGCCTGGACTATAAGAGATCCCGTCTCTTTAATAAAAAAAAAAAAAAAAAAAGGCAAAAATCAAACAAAAATCACCAAAAAATTGCCCCTAATAGCTTGGTATTTATAGAGGTGATCTAGCAAGCCTAAAGAAGAGAGCCTGGCTCTTAAAACCACACACCCAAGAGAGCACCAGCAGCTTTTTGTGCCTGACAAATTTTAAAAGAAAAAGAGAACAAAAGGTTGTGTGGGTAGGGAAGTGGGGGTGGATCTGAGAGCTGTTGAGGGAAGAGTGAATAAGATAAATATATTAAAAGAACTAGTAAGAAATGAGCAAGAGGGGAAAAAGAAAACCTGTTTTCTGCTCACCATGTGCAAGTGTGTGGCTGCATGGCAGTGGCAGTGGAGACTGATGTAAGCCACACACACTCAGAGCATTCTGGTTGCGTGCTCATTTCTGAGAGGCCAGCTTCCTGTTCCCTAGTATACCCCTTTCTCCTGTGTCCTCTCATCCTTCTGGCACTTTCCTTTGCTCAGTTCTTTTTTTTTTTTTTTTCCATCCAGTCTCAAAAAGTCAGAGTTCCAAAGCTCGGCCAAAGATTGTCTCTCCTCACGCCACACTTTCCCCTAAACCCAAGTTTATTCATCTCCATAGTTCTGAAATCCATTTTTCATTCCTGACAATACACAGTTGTGTACTTCTGGATTCTGTTATAAATTAAGTGCAACTTTGCTCTTTGACACCTGTATGCTATTATGTCATATGGTAACATTGTATTGTACTAATTTTTGTGGTACTGACAAGTGAGCCCAGGACAGTGTACACACTGAGCAAAAGCTCTACCACTGAGCTACTCACCCACTCCTAAGACATCTGGGATGTCTTAGATGTCTCACATATTAAATGTCATCTAATACATCTCATACATTAGATGCCAAATTTTATGCACCTAAACCAGAATGTTTAATCTTCTCCCATGGTTTCTTCTACTCCATTTCCTGTCACATACGTGGTATGCCAGACACCGATCTTTTTGATATTTTCCTCTCTTATACTCAACCAATTACTAATCCTTACTCAGTTCTTGTGATTCTATCTCTAAAACATTACAACACCATACACTTCTACCTCTGCTTTCATCATCCTAATCCAAAGCTGCGGTGCTCTCTTGGGTGTGTGGTTTTCCACTGGAGTGTAGACAGTTTCCTTTAAGGTCAAGGCCATCTTTTCATGGCCACTATACATTCTGACAATAGTACTCATTTAGGAATGGGTTTGTCCTCCTCCACACTCCATTCTCTGATGAAGATCATTTTCAATCATTACATTAAAAATGTCATTCACCTGGATACAGTCCACCAATGGCTTCTCACTGTCCTTGGGATAAAATTCTCACTACCTGGTGTTTTCCTTTCAAAGATTTAATTTATTTATACTTATGTATCTGTGTAATGTATGTATCTGTGTGTTTGCACATGAGTGCATGTGCCCATGGAGGCCAGAAGAGGGCATCAGATCTTCTACAGCTAAAAGTATATGAGTGGTTTGAGCCACCTGACCTGGGTGCTGAGACTCACACTCAGCTCCTCTGAAAGTGTCTATGGTATTTTCTTTTACTGGGTTACTGCTTATCTCTGTTGTGGAATATTATTTTAACTAGGTAAAGATGTGTTACATTTGTTTATGTTGCAGAATAGTACTTTGACTGTATGAAGGTGGTTATTCTGCATTTGTTTAACAATGTAAGGATATGTGCTTAATTATGTAAAGATGTGTTGAATTTGTTTCACCTTGCCTGCCTAAGGTACCTAATTGGTCTAATAAAAGGCTGAATGGCCAATACATAGGCAGGAGAAAGGATAGGCAGGTCTGGTAAGCACAGAGAATAAATAGGAGGAGAAATCTAGGCTCGGGAGAGAAGGGCAGAACAGGAGAAGGAAGAGGAGAGAATGAGGAAGACATCCTGGGCAAGAAGCCAAGCAGCCACCAGCCAGCGGACAGGAGAAGCAGTGGAAGTAAGTTACAAAAAGGAAGAAGAAAGCCCTGAGTCAAAAGGAAGACAGAGAAATGGGTTATTTAAGTTAAAAGAGCTAACCAGAAACAAGCTTAAGCTACATTAAGCATTCAAAACTAATAAAAAGCCTTTGTATCATGATTTGGGTGGTGGTCCAAAAGAAAGAGCCTGGTATAAATTTGTTTTTATTTATTGAGTCACTACCTAGCTCTTTCCATTTTTTTCAAAGCTACTCCCCATACCTCATCCCCGTGATCTCAGAACTCCAATCACATGGGCTTTTTTTCAATACCCAGAATAAACCAAGTCTTATCTTACCTAAAACTTTCTCCTACCCTCCACTTAGATAACTTCTAGTTGGTTTTCAGGTTTTAGCTGAAACATACTTTCCCTAGGGAAAAAAAGTGATTCATTTACCGAAAAAAAAATGTTTCGGTTCTCCTTTTGAGAAATAATCCATTTACATCTTTCCTTTGGGTGATTTAAGCCCACACAAGTGATCGCCTGAAGAGATCACACTTCCAGCTCCTCCTTTAGCATGTAACTGCATTAAGTCCTTGTTTACTACCATGATGGTGCTTGCAGTCTTTCAAGAGTGTCTCCCTAAGATAAGCAAACCAATTTATGCTTTTACAATAAAAATTGTGCAAATATAGGGATGAGGAGATGACTCAGTCAGTAAAGTACTTTTCATTGCAAGTGCTGAGTTCAGTCTCCAGAACCCATGTAAAAAGACGACAAGCACAGGGCTGGTGAGACTACTGAGCCTGATGGTTTAAGTTTGATCCCTGAGACCCATATGATAGAAAGAGAACCAATTCTTGCAAATTGCCTGAGAACTCTGCATAAGTCAAGAGCATGTACACACACGTACACACACACTGTAACTTAAAAGTTTCTTTAAATTCTGGGCACATGGGGAAATATTTGCAATCAGCACTGGGGAGATGGGAACAGGTGGATTCCTAGGCTCACTGGCCTGCCAAGCTAAGCCTACTTTGTGAGCTCCAGGCTAATGAAAGCCCATCTCAAAACAAAAACAAAAACAAAAACAGTTCCTGAGGAACAACAGCTGAAGTTGCCTTTGGCCTACACGCACATATGAACAAGCATGTACCTGCACACACATGAACAAATACAACATGAATGCACATATGTACAACATGAATGCACATATGTACACATTAAAATTTGAACTATGTACATATATACATATTATCAGACACTAGCTGAATTTTTATTCCACTGGTCCTTATACTTACTATTCTAGGTTGTTGTTTATTTTTAAGACATGATCTCAATATATACTTTGGCTGATCTGGAGCTCACTACATAGACCAGGCTGGCCTCCAACTTACAGATATCTGCCTGCCTCTGTCTCCTGAGTGCTGAGATTAAAGACATGGGCCATCACACCCAGCTTGATTTTTTTTTTTTTAATGCATGTGAGCCTGTTTTCTTCCAATTTATTTTTTATTTTTTTAAACTTACTGATAAATTATGTGATCTATTTTATTTCTTATAACCAAACTTCTCAAGGTCATCTTCATTATTTGATACATACATCTATCATCTATCTGACACTCTAAATTGTAGTTTCTCTTAGGAAGGGCATATCAGATTGGCTCATCATTTTTTGTTGTTTTTGTTTTTGAGGGGTTTCTTGCTTTATTTTGGTTTTTTGTTTTTTGAGATAAGGTTTCTCTGTATAGCATTGGCTGTCCTGGGACTAGACTGACCTCAAATGCACAGAGATCCCCCTGCCTCTGCCTTCTTATAGGTGTGTGTGCCACCACACCCAGCCCAGCTCATCATTTGTCTTTGATAGTTTGTTTTATATCTATGTGTGTGTGAACGTGGGTACAAGCGTGTAAATGCAGGCCATGTGCATGCCACAGCATATGTGTGGTCAAAAGACAACTTTGCCTTCTTTGAGATGGTCTCTCATTTTTTTTCCTCTCTGTATATGCCAGGCTAAGTAGCTATTAAGCTTGTAGAGATTCTCCTATCTCCACCTCCTACCTCCCTGTAGGAACCCTTCATTTACATGTGTGTGCTACTGTATTAAGGTCTATGTGAGCTCTGAAGGTATGAACTCAAATCTTCATATTTGTTTGGAAAATATTTTATTAACTGATCCATCATTGTTCATCATTTCTTGCCCCTATATCTGGCACATCATATAAGTCACTAGTAACTACTATGCAAAGAGTAAGTTGGTAAAGGGATTCAGTGGCAGACTGCATGGTTAGCATATACATTGGGTTCATTCTCAAGCCAAGGAAACAGAAGTTCCTATCTCATCCATCCTTTCCTTCATTCCATCAGAGACTAACATCTTCAACCTTCCTGATAAAGAATAAGTTCTCTGGCTCTTCTCAGCCCTACCTCTTCAGCCCTCCCGCTTTCCTTTGGTATATAACTGTGTTCAAGTGTCTACCTTCCATAGATGGCATTGCTCTTATTTGCCCATACTATTACTGTTGTGTTGCTTTTCTACTCTTCATTGTGGTAGTGGTGGTTTGATCAAGCTAGGAAACTGTCTACCACTGAGCTGCTTCCCTAGTCCTCTCTTTCACAATGAAGTTATAAACCTGACATGGCAGCACATGCCTATAATTTAGCCCTTGGGAGGTACAGACAGGAAGATCAGGAATTCAAGGTTATCCTCAACTACTCGGTGATTTCAAGGCTAACCTGGACTACATGAAACACAGTCTCAAAATAAAAGGAAGTTATAAAAAAGAAAAAACATACCATAATTCTCACTTCACTCCCTTTTATCTACCTTTCCTCCTTCTTACTTCTCACATCTAAACTAAAGGTGATGGTAGTAGTAGTAGTAGTAGTGTGTGTGTGTGTGTGTGTGTGTGTGTGTGTGTGTGTGTGTGTGTACATGGATACATGTGTGCACATGCATGTGGAGGATACAGGTCAACATTGGCTGTGTTTTTTTAATTGCTTCTCCACCTTTGAAAAAAGTTTTGAAGCTGGGCAGTGATGGTGCACATCTTGAATTCCAGCACTTGGAAGGCAGAGGCAGGTGGATCTCTGAGTTGGAGGCCAACCTGGTCTACAGAGTGAATTCCAGGACAGCCAGGACTGTTACAAAGAGAAACCCTGTCTGAAAAAAAATTTAAGATGGTCTCTCACTACACTTGGCATTCACTCATTGGTCTTGACTGTCTGGCCAGTGAACCCCATGGACTCTCCTGTCTCATCTCTCCGGGACTAGAACTACAGGAGTGCACCATTATGAGGGTGCTTTTTATGTGGATTCTAGGGATCTGTCACAGGTCCTTATGCTTCATGGCAAGCACTTTACAACCAAATCATCTTAGTGCCAATTCTTAACCAACCTTGACCAACCCATATACCAGCCATAATGAGACCCTGATAGCTTACTAATTGTGATGTGCTTGAGCACAATCAGATCATCATTCTGTGACTTCTCTGTGGTTGCATTTGACAAGACTGGGTATACTCTCTCTTTCATGAAATTCTCTCTCACCTGACAGGGTTACACCACCCTCTCCTAACCATTCTATTCTCTTTTCTGGCCACACCTTTGTTCTCTTCCTGGACACCATCTAAAGTACCCAGTCCAGAGTGTGGACTGTGAGAACAAATAACCAAACAGATGAAATCTTTCTATTTCTTCCTCTTTCCATATCATCTCAGACGCAACTGTGAAAGATAAATTACAGTCTCTGTGGTTCCCTCTAACATCCTAGTTACTGCATATCTCCTCCATCTTGAATTTTCAGCCCAAGTTTTTCCAGGCTCTGCTGAGCTCACCAAAGCCACCTTCTTCTCTCTGCTGGCCCTTGATCTGAGAAGGACCCTGAATCATTGTCTTCTGCTTGTCTTTCAGAATGCACTCACGTCCATCTTGGATTTCCTCCATTTTCTCATCTTCTGGGAAAATAAAATAACATACTGTGAGGTGGGGAGAGACAAGGATCTTTGTAGGCAATAAAAAAACAGTGACATAACCACCAGAAAGTTTCAAGCCTGGGGCAGAAAGTCTTAGCATACCCATTATTTCTTGAATAAGTACTTGAACCAGGATCCAAAGACAACTGGCTTGGGCTGACAAGACGGTCTTCCCCAGAAGCCATAGTGGAAGGAGAGAACTGACTTCCAAAAACTGTCCCCTGACCTCCACCCATACACCACATCATGTGCATGCCCTCTACTAATAATAAATAACATTTTTAAAATGCAAAGGGTATCTGGGAGCTAGAGAGAAGACCCTAGTTTGGCTCCCAGGGCCCACTTTGGACAACCCACAACCACCTATAACTCCAGCTGCAGGGGACCCAACATCCTCTTCCGGGTTCTGTAGGCACCCACATATACACAGTACACAGACACATAAACACACTTACATACACGTAAATAGAAGATCTTTTTAAAGGCCATATAATGACACTTACCAGCTTTCTTTTTTCTTTTGCTTAAAGAAAGTCTATTAAATTTCTTCTTAGAAGCCAGCTGGTCTGGCTTAGATGTCCTAATCTCAGAGTTCACTTCCTTTTCTAGAGAAGATGCAATCTCTGGAGTATCAGGTATTATCACCTTCTCCCTGAAAATGATATTGTTTAAATAAAAAGTTTTCAGAGAGACACTGCCATTCCAATCCTTTGAAAGAGACTCCAGGGGTTAAAAGTAAAACAGGAATTCTAGACTGGACTGGGAAATGTAGCTCAGTGGTACAGCACATACTTAGCATGCACTAGGAACTGGGTTTAATTCCCAAAAGACACATTCAAGTCCCAAGTCTCCTAAGGTCTCCTGAGGTCATATTATCCAACTTGTGGCACATTTCCTTCCTAACTCTAACAGGCATCTGTCCTGAGCTAAGAGAAATCAGTATAAGTACAATAGATGACTAAATAAACAGGAAAACTGGGCACCAGTTTATATCCACCCGGTGTTCAATTTGTCCCTCTGGGATAAACTTACCCATCAGCATTTTCATTATCAGTGGCAGAAGAAGCAATTCCTGGCTCTTTGTCTGATTTGGTAGGTATTATGGGTTGGACACAGGAAGTCTCTGCAAAATTAAGGCCAGACCCCAGCCCTTCCAAAACAAAGTATTACAAGCAAGGAAGAAACAAAACAAAACAAATGCTCTAGTATTTCTAAACCACAGCATTCCATTCAAATATCATACCCTTGTGCTTCAAAGAGTCTACCTTTGGTATTTTGTCATATGGTAGAACTTGAAATCATTACAATTCAAGAAAAACTAAAATCCATATTTTTCTGCAAGCTTTCCATATTGATCAGCCTCATTCCAGGGCAGCTAAGTAATAATGTAATTGTGTATAATATGTACTATATTTTATCTTATTTTTCCTCAAACTTCTTTTAAGAAAAGTACACCCACAAATATCTTATATGAGACCATTCTCCTTAATCACGTGACCTTATAGAAAAGGCCCCTAAGACTATGTAACAGTCCTTTTTTCTAAAAATCAAACCAAGGGCTGGGGAAATAACTCAGTCAATAAGTGCTGCTTTACAAGTATGAGGACCTGAGTTCAAGTCTCCTAACCCACATAAAATCAAAATAAAACAAATCAAATGTGGTGACATACACTTGTAATCCCAGCACTGAGGAGACTGGAAAAGGCAGATCCCTGAGACTTCCAGCTGCCTAGACTAGCGGAACTGACTAGGCCCCAGGCTAGTGGGGGACACTGTCTCAAAAAACAAGGTAGAGCCTTATGAATGACAACTAAGGTTGACTTCCAGCCTCAATCCACAGGAGCAGACACATGCATCCATACCTGTACTTATGTCCACCTACATACATTAGCACAGCACACATGAACCTGTGAATACACTTAAACATAAAGACATTACAAAAATGGTAATAAAAACCAAATCCCTAAAAGGAACCAAACCAATATTAAAAATATGCAAAACTTGTGCCAGTAAGATGGCTCAGCAGGTGGGGTGCTTACCGCCAAGCCCAGGACCCACATAGTAGAAAGAGAACAAGTAGAAGAGGATGCTTACAAACTGTCCTCTCACCTGTACACACAAACCATGGCATGCATGCTCACACACACACACACACACACACACACACACACACACACACACACACACTAAAAAAAATAATAAAATGTAATTTAAATATACATACTATACACACATAAAATACATTCTCCAAATCTGGACAAACTATCTTTTCTAAGTAGACTGCAAACATATATGAGTAAATCAAAATTGCATTTGGAAAACTCAGGTGAGGCTACATTGATTCTGAAGTCAGTATCACCTACTTTCCCAAAGACATTTCTTTCCCTTTTCTTTCACATGACTTAGCGCAGGCCTATTGATAGGAGATTAAATATCTCAAGTATCATTTGAGACTTTCTCAGGAAGATGGGAGAAAAAGAAGCTGTCAGACTTATACTACCCCTCAAATGACAGTCACTCTGCTTTTTCTCTTCACACCAGGCCATACCCAAGTACTCCTGCAGAGACTTCCGTAGTACAGTCTGGAAAATCTCTTCAAATTCTTCGTTGGTAAGGGCTTGTTTTTCCTGCAGAGATGGAAGGAAGGAAAACAGCTTGCCTAGCATGCATCAGGTCTTGGAGTCATTCCTCAGTAACACCCCCCAAAACACACACACACACACACACACACATTCCCCCAACACAAAAAGATTCTGTTTATCTGGCTTATCCAGGAAACAGAGCAGGAGGGACTGTACTACTAGAGTGTGATGTACACCTTTCCTTTCTTCTCAGCTAGCTTGTCTTGAGCCTTTCGCTTTTTCTCCTGGACTCCGCTTGGACCATGTTCTGTGGTTGTCTTCTGCTCCTTCTTCTTTGAGCTGGCTTTGGGCTGGCTTGGCTTGGCCTCTGCCTCTGGAGAACTGGTCCCCTGGGTGTCCTCCTTCCATGAGTCAGCCTGAGGGCTCACACTATGTGATTTTTGTATAGGTGGGGCAAAGGTTTTCTTTGTCCCCTTTTCATATTCTGAAGAAATATGATCAAATGGAAATTAGGAAATCGGTGTTTAACAGAGATTGCCAAACACTGCCTGTGGAGTAGTCAAATCGGAATTAGCTTTTAACAAATCCAGATTTCTCCCCTTAATATTCCATTCCCCAGCCCAGGAATTTGTAATCTGACAAGATTAGCTGGTTCTAACATACTCCAAGTTTTCTACCATTAATTCAAAATGATTAAAACAAACATGTAGGAAGGTGAATTATTCAAGTATGAATTGTTTTTTTCTTAAATAGGTTCATTTTAATTTCATGAAAATAAACTTTAAAAAAAACTACTGAGCACTTAGAAACGACTCAAGGCTTAATCTTTTTTTCTAAAAAAAAATCTATTTTTAATTTTAACTGATCAAAATGCATACAAGAATGTCCCTGAACTAAACAAAACACAATAAAATGCCCAAGGCCTAGTCTGATGCTATCTCCTCTGTGAAAAGGATACTGATCCCACCAGGTATAAGTGATAATCTATTTATTCTGAGCATTTTTAACACTGTACTTCTCTAGTGGCATTCAGCATATTTAACTTCATATTATCGATACTTAAACACATTTTTCTCCATGTGAATCCATATATTCTTTGGGCATGGCTGCTTTTTAAAGATTTATGTATTCAATTTTTTTACCTAAGTGAATGTGTGTGCAGGTGCATGCAGGTGTTCATGGAGGCCAAAGGGCATGCAATCCCCTGCATATGGAGCTACTGGCAGCTGTAATTGCCTGATGAGTATTCTGGGAACCACTGCCTGATGAAGATTTTGGGAACCACCCCTGAGTCCTCTGGATGGGCAGCGAGTGCTCTTAACCACTAAGCTGTATCTCCAGTCCCGAGCAGCAGGGCTGTTTCTAAGTCATATTTATTTTGCTCAGTGCAACTGGCAAAATAGTAGTTTGAACAAAGTGAACAGAATTCATGGGACTATAATCCCCCTTTGAAGGAAAGGATGGATAAAGGGGGAAAGGGAGAGAAATGTATTAAGTGAATGTCTCTAATCCTTGGCTCACCTTTGTTATTCTGTGATGCTGCCATCATTCAGCAGAAACTACACTTCCCTTGCCTCTGTTAGAAGGAAAGAAATTGTTATTACTTTGGTTAAACATAATTTAAACTTTATTTTCTCCATGTCTTCTTAGATTTAAATTTCTCTGGATCCAGGACAACACTTCTGCCTTGTTCACTCCATTCCTACCCTGCATCAGTACTGACTATTTCCCTGGGCATGCATAAGTTGCTGTTTTGAAGATTAGCAGCAATGCTTGGTTTTATGGTTTTTCAGTACTGGATATTAAATCTATGCCTTTGTACATACTAGCCAAACAAATGCTTTACCTGAACCCTATCATACACAGAAAGAAGGAGAGAGAGAGATAGAGAGGAGGGAAAGAAAGAAAGAAAGAAAGGAAGGAAGGAAGGAAAAGATAGCTTGGCAATTAAGCGCATTTGTTATTCTTGTTGACTGGGTTTCAATTCCCAGCACCCATAGAGTATTTGACAACCATCTGTAACTCCAATTCAGGGGATCAGATGCCTTTTGCTAACCTTGGCAGGCACCAAGCACACAAATGATGTACATACATAACATTCAGGTAAAACGCTCACAAATAAAATGAATAAATCTAATTAATATTTTCATAAAAAAGGAAAAAAATGATGGAGCATTATTGCACTATTACATAAATAAGATGTAGCAATTCCATAAGCAGTGATGTATATGTAGTAAATAGCTTCCCTTAATATAAAGTTGCTCACAAATAAAACGAATAAATCTAATTAATATTTTCATAAAAAAGGAAAAAACGGGGCATTATTGCACTATTACATAAATAAGATGTAGCAATTCCATGAGCAGTGATGTATATATAGTAAATAGCTCCCCTTAATATAAAGTTGGAATGTAATGAACATTACTTTCAAAAAAAAATTTTTTTTTGAAGACAGGGTTTCTCTGTGGTTTTGGAGGTTGTCCTGGAACTAGCTCTTGCAGACCAGGTTGGTCTGGAACTCACTGAGATCCACTGGCCTCTGCCTCCTGAGTGCTGGGACTAAAGGCGTGCACCACCACCACCTGGCTACTTTTAAAAATTCTAACCCAATCAGTAAATAAGAGAAAGTCAGGAAGTTACTTTTTGATAAGTCAAGCTGCTGCTTCCTGTTTGAGATGAATTTGCTTCTTCTACAACAGCAAATATTAAAAAGCTGACTCACAGAGAAAAAAAAACAGTTAATAAAAATGCAAAATACCACCTTGCACTTGTTAGAGTGTGAAAGTAGAAACTGACAATGTCTCATATCATTTTCCACTTTATATTTTTGAGGCAGGTCTGTCAGTGAAACAGAGCTTGCCATTTCAGATAGTCTGGCTGGTCAACAAGCCCCCAGGACCCAACTGTCTCCACCTCCCACAGACTACACCACTACGTCCAGCTTTTTGTGTGGATGCTGGGGATCCTCTACTTATGCAGTAGGTATTTACTTGCTGAGTTATCTCCCAAGTCTCCATAGGTTTTAATTTCTCTTTTCTCTCAAGAGAAATGAAAAGAAGACAGGAAGGGAAATAGAAAAAACAACAACAAGGAGACAATCCTAGCTGCAACAATGGAACAACAGCTCTACCATCCAGGGCAAGTGCTTGCTGCTCTTCCAGAGAACCCAAGTTCAGTTCTCAGCATCTGTAATGGGTGGTTCACAACTGCCTATAACCCCAGCTGTCCAGGATCTGTCCCTCTTCCAGCCTCTGCAAGCATTCACACATATGTGGTTTGCACACATACTTTAAAAATAATAATAATAAAACTTCTTGGATTCCTCTGCAGATTTTTAAGAGTATAAGAGACCAAATCTGGTATGCTGGGTATGATGGCATATATTTCTAATCAGAATGAGAAATTCAAGGCCAGCATGGGCTACATGAGACCATACCTCAGTGAACAAAAACAGCAGGGAGGGGGACTCATAAGACCCCCCTCTCCTTGAAGATCTGAAAGCAACACTAGTTGCTAAGGAGAGAAACATTTTCAATGATGAAGCCACCGGTAAGATGGAAATAAGAGAAGATAGTTAGGTTGACTATAGTTGAAATATATTATATACACGTGCAAATTTAGCACAATGAAACCATTATTATAGATAATATTTTTTAAATGTTTACAAATAAAAGTTTTAAATATACCTGATGAAATTACTTAATTAAGTGCTGCCATTATTTGTCAAAAAAAATCAATTAGGAGCTGGCTCAGTCGTTAAGAGCACTGGTTGCTCTTTCAGAGGACCTAAATTCAACTCCCAGAAACTACATTAATAGCTCACAACTATCTGTAATGAGATCTGGTGCCCTCTTCTGGCAGACATGCAGGCAGAACACTATACATAATAAATCTTATTTAAAAAAAAAAAAAAAAAAAAAAGCATTATCCACCTTACCATGTCCTCCTCCTGAATATGCAATTATTCCCTCTTTATATTGTTTCTCCATTCTTTAAAGAAAAGCCAGCCCTTTGCTATTGTCTATTATCATAGATCCCAAGAGTTTCTACAAATTGCAAAGACTAGTTAATACTAGCATTCATGAGGTTGAGGCAGTATTTAGAGTTCAAACTGGAGGGCTTCATAGCAAGACACAGCCATTAAAAAAGGACTATTTAGCTGGGTGTTATTGGCACGCCTTTAGTCCCAGCACTCAAGAGGCTGAGGCAAGTGGATCTCTGTGAGTTCTAGACCAGCCAGATCTACAAGAGATACAAGCCACATAGAAACTCTGTCTTGAAAAACAAAAATAAGAAGAAAAGGACTATCTTACCCTCCTGTAAGCTAGGATAGGGATTCATGTCTGAATTCCAGCTATAGGGATATTGAGGCAGGAGGGTGAGTTCTAGTTTGAGACCAACAGACAACCCTGTCAAAACAAAAAAGAAAAAAGAAAGACCTCCTATATTTAAAATGGTCAGTGGCTGTAATCCCAGAACTTGAGAGACTGATGAAGTCCACCGCTACAACTTCAAGTCCAGTCTGAGCTACAAGTGATTACTTCAAGAACAGCCAGGGACACAAACAAGACCCTGTCTCTGCAAATAAAAATAGAGACAGAGACAGACAGAGAGAGAGAGAGAGAGAGAGAGAGAGAGAGAGAGAGAGAGAGGGAGAGGGAGGGAGGGAGGGAGGGAGGGAGGGAGGGAGGGATGCTGGGGAGATGGATTAGTGGGCAGGGGTACTTGTGTCAAGCCTAATGACCTGAGATTGATTCCAGAGCCCACGTGTTGATGATGGTGGGGGAACAGGTTATCCTCTGGCCTCTACATGCTCTATGACATGTGCACACACGAACACACAAACACACCCCACACAACAAATAAATAGATAAGGGTAATAAAACTTTTAAAGATAAAACTCATTTAAAATTTTCATTTCCTTTAAGATGGAGTTAATGGCCTTTTGACATTAATGTCTAACAGCCTATAAACTCCTGCCTATTCTCATGACTCGATTAACTTTTTAAGTTCCCTTTTGAGCACATATGTATGCTCTAGAAACCTTTTAAACATTTAGCAAGAAAAGAAAGACTAGTAGTCCATCCACCCTGACCAAATTTACTTTCAGCAGAAATTATCCAAGCTAAACTTCCCACGGGTAGTGTATTGGGGCGGGAGGCTTGGGGACGGGGAGAGGGGATGGGAGGGAGGTGGTGGCGCACGCCTTTAATTCCTGCACTCGAGAGGCAGAGACAGGTGGATCTCTGAGACCAGCCAGAGCTACATACAGAGAAACCCTGTCTCTGGGATACAAAAGAAAAGAAAAAGAAAAAGAAAGAAAACGGAGGGAGGGGAGAGGCAGGGGAAAGACCAAAGATACGGTCACTTGTGAGCTAAACAGTTTCTTTCTCGGGTGGAAGGGTTGAGACAAGGTTTCTCTATACAGCAGCCCTGGCTGTTTTTGTGACCAGGCTGGCCTGGAACTCACAGAGATCCTCCTGTCTTGCGAGTGGGATTAAAGTCGTGTGTCACGACCACTCGGCACAAAACAGATTCTTTCGACAGAGCTGATGTCCTTTCTAGTCTTGGCATGGCTCTCTAGGTGGCTTCCACTCGTGTCCCTCCCCCACCTTGTCCCAGACCTCAGGCTGGCCCTCAGGGATGTCCTCGCTTCAGGGACCATGTGTCCGATGCCTTCGCAGCGCGCGCCCTTTCGGCTTCCAAGCTATTGAGATGCGGTGCCATAAATACACAGCCCCACGGAGAAACCCCAAAGTAGAAATTTTATCTGTTCCTCTACTTGTCCTCCTTCTTCCCCAGTTCTCTCTGGGACAGCCATTAGAAATCGGAGTTGTCTCCCAGTCAAACAAGCCTCGCCTCTCCTCATCCTGACCAGGCATCCCACCATGAGAGCCTCTTCCCCTCAGCTCCCGCTCAGCCTCACTGTCCCTCAAGTCCTCATTTCCCGCCACGACTCCGGCTTGTGTGTGCTGTGAGTGGTTTGGAAAGTGGGGATTCTGAGGAGAAAGGTCAGCTGAAGGTCTGAAGACAAAATTTCTCCTCAGCCAACAGGTACCAGGATTCACCGCACCTAACACATCCCTCGATGGCTGGATAAAAGCCAACTACCTTCTGGGCCGACGAGGATGTAAAGATGAGGCGCAGCCTACGCTGTCGCAGCCATTCCGCACATCCCTTTCCACCTCGACCTATTTTTCCCGCCACCAAGACAAGGCACGAGGACACGGACAAATTCCGCCCCCAAGTGGCGAGCGCTCAGAGATGACGCGCATGCGCAGCTGGAAGCCGCTTTGCGTATGCGCAGTTGAAGTATACCGCCATCTTCCAAACTAAAGCCTACTGAAACTACAAGTCCCATAATCCTCGCGGGCGCCGGGCTTCCCCCCCCCCCGCTCAGGGCACTTCGTTCTGGTGTCTGCTTCAAATCGCCTGATTTCATGTTATAACCCGTATCTTTTCGTTTCCCTCACGCTTTTATATTTTGTCTGAGACCATCTTGCCTCTACAGTGCTCTTATTTGACAATCTGTTGGCAGGGAACCTCCCTCCACCTGCCATCACTCTGGGGACTCGGCACCGAATGTTTCCCATTGGCCCGAGCAAGGAGGCCAAAGCGAGTCGTTACGCTTTCCCGCCCACACTTGTTTGTGTTTGT